CAATGTTTTTTGGTTGCTTCATACACTAATCAGTTTTTTTAATTTTTGTATGTTATTACAGTACTAGTTAATATAGTGCTATTATTATGTGTGTGTTAAAGCAATGTTTAATAAGCAAGTTAAATATCTTCCTTATTAAATGCCTGGTTTTTTCTGCCTTTTTGCAGTTGTTTTTTTGATTGCTTTTTCTGATTAATTCTGCAGAATCCTCATTCGAGCGTCCGCTTAAACACGCAATTTTCTACTTCGAATAGTGTTAGTTGGTCATTGCTTCAAATCGTTTGATGAAGGCTCATTTCAAGCAATTTTAAACTCTTAACAAGTTAAGAAAGTTTGTGCAAACACAAATTTAAAAGCAGCGATTATTTCAATGCATCAATAAATTATAAAGGATTCAGTATCATGTGATTGTATATTTGAAGTTTTTATCACTGGCAGTTTTTCTTTATGAATTCAAGTTGAAACACACCCACAATCAAGCGATTTCTAAAATCCCCATAATAAAATCATCGAATTTATTAAGCAGTAAAAATAATTTCCAAATGCTAAATCGTACAGTTGAACGTCTGGGAAGCCTCAAGGCGAGTTTTAACCTTTGCATGATTGGCGGCAATTTTAGAAATTGTTTATAAACATTGGCAATAGACTGCGGCTGCAGTAAGACAACAAATAATGCCTTCAAGACACTACCGTTTTACATAAGCGAAAAATTGCATTGAAATGATGCAAGACAAACAACTGATATTGGGGTCTTCCATGTCATTTCCCAATTTTGATTAATGACTACTTTACAGGGTGTTGTATTTCCAAATGTTGCAACCCAATCGGCAACACTAACATAGAGACAAAAATCTCACACTCTGGTAGAATGCTAATGATGTCGACTTGGGCAATCGAATATCCAATTAGACAGTCATTAATTATTCACTACCGCTATTAAAAGCTCCCATACCGAGACTTGATTGTTTATATTGGTGTTAATTGATTGTTGCAACCAGTATTTTGGCCAATTATTTCGTGCAGTTTCAAATTTCAATGTTTTTGTAGGAGACTTAGTACAACGTCCCTCTTGGGGAAAAGACCAGCCCAATAACTACAATGGAGAACAAAACTGTGTGGTACTCGATGGAGGACGTGGGTGGCTTTGGAATGATGTAGGATGCAATCTAGATTACCTGCATTGGATTTGTCAGCATGGTGAGGAAGGCGGCAATTGTTTTTTTCTAAACAAATTGCAGCCTTGATGTATTTTTAGATGTTCTACAAGCCTCTGATTGACCACTGAGTCGATTTCACTAAGAATAATTTGTGGCATAAAATTTTGAAAGGCTCCTGGTGTTATTTATAAAAACCTTGAACGCTAAAAATCAACCAGCCTATCATTAGTTTGACCTATCGTTTAAGGTATTCAGCACAAAACTACTTACTCATTCCCTATAGACCATGCCGACTATAGATTTCAAGAAATCGTTACATAATGATCATAAATAATCATAACACCAGTATGCGAAATTATTTATTGGAAAATGCCCTTTCACAGCCATGCACCGAGCATTGGGCATGGAAACCTATTGGATTCCATTGGAAAAATTTGCATAATGCAATAAATATTCATGTAAACAACTTAATCAATTTTTGTCCTTGCAAGGCTTAAAGTGAAGGTGGAATGGAAAAGTGCATTTTTTATGGCACAGATTCGAGAATTCGTCTAATTAAATATCTCGAACAAGTATTGTGATGTTTTAAGCAAAGTTTGAACTTCCCAAATTTCAGCCGTGAAGGGTTTAATTCTSAGGCATYWAAAACGTTTTACCAAAAGTAGTGACTGRCATCTTCAGGCGCAGCTTAGAGTTGCACAYTGTATTCCTTATTTTTGCAAGTATGCATTAATGGAAAAAATTTCATTAAYTTTTCCAAAAAATWAGAAATACRTAGCAATAAAACAGTAGTTGCAAGCATTAAMGTTCCATAAAACAAATCGAAGAATSTAAAGCGTTGAAAATGCAGATGGAATAACACAAACCATTTATGATCCAGAGCAGGAAGCACATAGACCATTTCCCGAATATACAGCAGATTTACTTCTAGGCATTTTGGTTTTTTTATATGATGAAAGCGTTTTTTAAATTTATTTGTCGCATAATATATCGAATTTAAATATTTCTTTTTCAAGTGCTTTAAATATGAATACACTCTTTTGTAAGTAAAATTAATGATAACGAAGCTGTAGAAGGAACCACCCCTGTAAAATATAAATTTTTTGATCGATTTCAATGATTCTTCTTTGTTTACTTACATATTCAACATATGCATGCGACTAGTGGATAATTACAATTTTTGCCTGCAATTATTTCAAGTTGTGAAGTTTAAGATAAAAAATTCTGGCAATTTTTGGAAAAAAATTACCTAAAATCCATCTCTATCTATTCTCTATATCAGTCTGCCACAAATCAAAATCAGAAAAGTGTTATTAAAATGCAAAAAAACTGTTTTGTGTTTAAAAAATATTGTTTGGAATATTCTCATAAAAACACTGAGTTTCACACTTAAATTTTACAATTTTCCAATTTACTCCACCAAAATCCAATATTTCCTGTATTTTATTATTGTTATCGTGATTTTTCTGTACACCAAAAATTGAGAACAATGATAATCGGTAGAGATGGATTTTAGGTCATTTTACGAGACAATCAGTCGACATTTTTCGTAAAAGTTGTCTTAAAGCCACTTTTCGAAATTTTACCCCTTAAAAATGGATGTAGTTAGGCCGTAAGTACAGATGAATATTGAAACCACTTACTAGTCGAATGCGCATTTTTAATACCTAAATCATAAAAAAAAATCATTGAAACTGATCAAAAACAATTACTTTCCAAGTTCTTAAACCAGCATGTACTAGTTTTTTGCTTTGTTTAGTAGGCTTCATTTAGCTTCATTTTTTTTTTAGTAGTTTACATTTTCAGATTTTGTATTATAGAGAAAATTCTTAAACGGACAAGGGAATAGAAAATGATTTGCAAAATCAATTTTAATACAAATCAATTAAGACTGGGAGTACATAATTGAATGCTTTCAAAAAATGTACAATGAACGATTATAAAAAAATCATGTTTTACTTAACAGCAAACAATAAATAACAAATCTGGTGAATAAATTATGCTCTAATAATTATCCGTTAATTCTATATTTCTCTGTATATTCGGCTCAAATGGGAAATTACCATTAGAATTATACGAGTTTTGCTAATGGTTAGTTTAAAGCTAAAAGGCTTTGGGAAAACATTACTGACCGATGTTTTCAGTGGCGAATCTTTAGTGCTTCAATGTAATGAAATGTCAAAATGAGGATTAATATTAATACCAAATTTAATTTTTGAAACTTATTTTTGGGCCGGCAAAAAGCAGAAAAACTGTAGCCAAAATAATAAACCGTCAATCCTAACTTTTGAATATTTATTTGAGGAGTTTTTCCGGACTTAACTATAACGTTTTCTTGACGCTGAGAGCATGACTTTGTAGAAGCAACTAGCCAACTTGGACCGCTAGACACGTCAACCATGTATGCTCAAAACCACCACATTTTGCCAAAAGTTCTTGAAAAATTAGGAGCTGTATTACGACTAGAACCATCAGCTTTTCAGATTTTAAATCGTTTTATTAGCAATTTGAAAAATTTTACACTGCACAAAATGCTCAATATTTAATATTTTATCGGCAAATAACTCATGAAATATAAATTAATGCGAATCTGTTATCTGGCTTTGCTAAGAGCATGACAATAATTCCTAGTGCTTATTTTAAATAAAAACTTCAATATTTCTTTGGAGTTTTTTTTGGGAGACAATTTTTCAATTTGCATGTATTTTTTTAATACATTTGATCAATTTTTTTGAATGAATCAATAATTTTAAAACATCATTGAAAAAAACATTATTGAAAAAAAGTTTTTTTTAGTATGAGTATTTTGCAAATAACTCATGTGATGCTCTTCGAACGTTTTCCAGTCCTTCTTTTAGTTCTTAAAGACTAGGAATTTCGGATAAGGCGCCATGGAGAAAAGATCGATCAAATTCTTTTATCAGATGTTTTGAAACTCTTCCGAAAGACATCTGCATAATCGTCGAAAGCTTTAAGCATTTGACAATTTCGCTTCTAACTGTGAAACGAGAAGAATTGTTTTCATAAAACCCAACTAGAAAATGATGAGCTTGGAGACACTCTATAGAAAGGCTCTAATGGTTATCTCAATGTTTTCAAACGATTTCGAGATATAAATCTACCTCGTGAGGGTGACGACTTYTGCCTCACAAATGTTAAAAAAAGATAGCTCTCAAAACACTCTATCGAAATGGCTCTTAGGAGTTGAAATATTGGCATATTCATATACGACTTACTACGCTCTATCCAAAAATCCCTACCAATTATTCCCGGGTTTCATGTCAATGAAAATGTTTAATAAATCACCAAAAATGGCTCTCTTTCTATAGGGGCTGRAAAAACGGTTCAAGCCTGACGAGGAAATAAATATATGCTCATTCTAAATGCATCTCACAACTATCCAGATATTTTACGTTTGCTCCTATCGCTCTAAAGCTGTAAAGTATTTGATAAAAATCAATTAGACCCAAAGACTTCTAAAGAAAGTCTTTCAGAAAGACCATAACAAATGATTAWTTTKTTCCGACCGCTYCAGAGCTTSAAGCTCTGAAAAATTCATAAATTWGATCATTTCTGCTTCTTAGAAATCTTAAATYTCTTTAGAAGTTATGAAGCCTAATTGATAAAAAATCAGTTTYTATTTTTCACACTTRAARATTCTCTTTSGAATAGYTTATTTTCATGGATACGATATGTCCACCCGTTCTTGTAAAATACCTTACTGTCTGAAAATTAARCAAAACAACACAACAAACAGTAGCAGAAAATAACYCAATAACCAGAAAGAGAMGAATTATAGAAGGAGRTTTGAAACAASATTKGCAYCTWAAGTAGAATAAAAARGACAATATCAACTCKAAACACACAMAATAYKTTGACCAGACCARCTAAACTCACCAATATTTTAGTGAGGTAATTCGATAATATTGAAAGTTCCATTCCTCAGTTCCTTCCTCTTGTGGAAGCCCAGACAAACTAATCAACACCACCATCACCGGATCCAATTACAGTCTAGGAGCTACCATCAAATACAATTGTCCGGAAGGACACATGCTCCTGGGGAGCGAAGCCCGAAAGTGTGGAATGAACGGTTTCTGGACTGGAATGCCTCCAACGTGCAAATGTAAGTCTGGTCTGATACCGAAAGCTCATGCAAAGATTCAAAAGTTTTATTTGCAAAAGCGTCCATAGACTTTGAGAAACACACTCTGTAGATTATCGCCATCCGCAAATCTTCTACGTGCATATGAACATAAGATTATGCAGTTTTTTTACCTACTACTATTTCTTAGTTATTGATTGTGGGTCGCTTTCGAGCATGGAACATGGTACAGTGGTCTTGAAGGATAACCGCACCTCCCATGGAGCTCGCGCCATTTATTCCTGCCACGAAAACTACACCCTCATAGGTAATAGAGGTGAATTGAAAACCCCTGTTATCTCACCCTGCAGATTTTCGCAGGTCACGAAGTTCGACTATGTGGAAACGATGGCAAATGGACCAACTCCACCCCTCAGTGCCTGTTCGATTGGTGCCCAGATCCTCCGGATATCCATGGCGGAGTCGTGCATACTTCTGGGCACAGAGCCGGAGATAGAGCCACGTACACCTGCCAGCCGGGATATGTTATTCATGGAGAAGGAGTAAGAGGAATTGATTGTTTTCGCGTCAGGTTTACATGGGGATTTCCATCTGCAGGTTTTATCCTGTGGACTTGGTGGGGAATGGTCGGGCAAAGCCCCCACTTGCAAATACGTGGACTGTGGGGCGCCTCCCAATATCGACTATGGGCGGTATGAGTTACGCAATGGAACCACTACAGTTGAGAGCATTGTTGAGTACTTCTGCGAAGCAGATTACTGGTTGGACGGGCAAAAGGTCCAGAAGTGCACCAAGGACGGGAAATGGTCTTCAGACGCACCATTTTGCGAACGTATGTGTCTAACTCGCCGGTTAATTCGGATGGTTAAAGAAGGCTAAAATTGCAGTGATCACATGCGACGAACCGGATGTTCCTGCGGGAAGCTACGTGGTTGGGGTGGATTTCAATGTGCATTCAGCCATCGAGTACCACTGTGAAGTGGGTCATTTGCTGCGTGGTGAGCAGATTCATGAGTGCCAAAGAAGTGGGGAATGGTCTGGAACCACTCCCAGCTGCGAATGTAAGTCCATATTGAATACAGGGTGTCCTAACGATCTATAGGAGGTGTCAACCTATAATATCCAACCCTGTACTTTCACAATATGACGACGAAAATCTTGAACCAAATGATACTGGTTAAGCGTAAGCTTACTTTACTCTATCGTTAGGACTCCCTGTATAGTGAGACGAAGGACCAGGAATATCGGAAAATAGTGTTTTTAATTTATGACCTAGAGTCATCCTCAGCCGAACACTATCTCTCTCTCCCTCTCTGAACACTCAAATATTTGCCTAAAACTCTTCAAATTATTTCTTCAGATATCGACTGTGGAAACGTCCCCACAATGCTCTACGGAGAGATTCGCTACTCCAACGCCACCACCTACTTAGGAAGCGAGCTCTCCTACTCTTGCGCCAAACACTACAAGCTGAATGGTGTCTCCAAGAGATACTGCATGAAAAACGGGCAATGGAGCGACTCTTCTCCAAAATGCGAAGGTTCGTAGCTCCGCAGCAGGGAGAACCTGAAGATAACGGTTTTATTCCAGAGGTGCGCTGTCCGGAACCAATCATAGCCGACCACAGCATCCTATCAGTAACCGGCAACGACCGGATGTATGGAAGGACGTTGATCAGAACAGCCGAATCCGCAAATGTGGGCGCTTCTTCGTATAAAATCGGGGCTTTAGCAAAGTACCGATGTGAAAGAGGCTACAAGGTAATAGGGGAGCCTTTGAGCACGTGCGAGGACAGCGGCCAGTGGAGTGGAGGAGTTCCCCAGTGCGTTTGTGAGTCATTTTTCTCGAATTTTTGTATGGAATCTCTTCATGAGCTTTGCGAACTTTCCAGTCGTGGACTGCAGAAACCCGGAAAAAATTGCCAATGGACAAGTCACCCTGCCCTCAAACGCAACTTACTACGGGGCTCTCGCCCTGTATGCTTGCGATCCAAACTTTGAGCTGGATGGCGTTTCCAGACGATTGTGCCTGGAAAATGGAACATGGAGTTCGGATGAACCCATTTGCAGAGGTAAGACGACCAATAGGTTTCTATGAAGTGAAAGTTTATTTAGGGTCATTAAGACTACCTGAAGTTATCGATACTTGGCGGTTCTTTGTCCGCACTGAGCGCATGATTTTGTGTTAAAAGTCAGTCAATTCGGGTCAATACGAGAGAAATCTTTTAGGCTGTTTTAGTGAGTTTAGAAAGGGTTTTCGAGATAATTTGGGGATAAAGAGTGGGATCTTCGCTCCGTATTTAAGTGCATTTTTAGGATCTTAACGTTCCAAGGGAAATGAAAATTGTAGATTTAATATTACATGTTGTGCTATTTTGAGGATGATATAGATTTTATATTTAAATCTCGTATGCATCATTTATGTTCAGTTTCAGTTAAATTACAGTAATAACAAACAAACAATAACTAAAATTCCATTTCATATCTTGAAAACTGATACCAGGTAGTTCTACGGGCAATTCAACGAAAAAATTAAAAAATAGTACTGGGAAACTAATATATTTGAAAAAATGCTTGAAAATAATTTTACAACATAGCATACATTTTTATCTATCATTTTATAGACAAAAACGTGCTAATTTTCAAATTTTAAAAATATTTATTGGTTTAAGACACAGGCTATTAAGAGCCTATTGTTTGAGCTTAACTGATCAAGTTCAATTTAGAAAAACATTAACAAGAAATTTGGAACTTTATTATGAACAGAGAAATTTGCCTAAAAACGCTTTTTTGGAAGTCTAAAAATGCTTCAGCAGATCTGAATGAATGTTATCACTTTTTACGATTTATTAAATAGTTGTCGCATATTTTTTCCAATGGTGTCCCGGAAAAAAAAATATTTTCTACCAGGCCAAAACATTCTGCAGTTTTGTTTATAAAATTCAATTAAACTCACTGAAAAACTACAGGATTTTACCCAAAATGTTTCTACTTTTTTCTAAATATCTCAAAAATTAAAGGAAAAACTTGTTTTTTGAAGACGCCATTTATATGACCCCCTGATAGCGCAACTTTTTCCTAATTTAACCGACTTGGTATCTTTTACGGTTTCAAAGATTCCCATGCAATGCATCCTTATCTTGGACACCCTGTATATTCAGAAAAAATCGAATTTACTGAGAAACCAAAAAACTCAAATTTTACAAGCCTGGATTGGCCGTTCTGCAGAGTCCAAGTATCCGATTAATTGGCAAAGTTTATCGAACCTGAAAAATTACCGAAGACGAAAAATAAGCATAAAATTCAAATAGACTAACGTGTGTAATATTATATTTAAATTAAACTTAGCTAATAACATGGATACAAAGATAGTCCGAGTTTTTTGCAAAAAACAATCCGCCGAATTTTAAATTAATTTTAATCTCACTTCTCTAGATTGAAGTATTTTAAACTTCTAGAAACCACAACTTTTTGTCATTTGTGAGCTTGAAAGTCCTGAAAGTTTCAATGGAATCGCACTCAATCTTGATTTTTGTCAACCAAGTCAATGGGGGCCCGAAAATAAATGTCCGTATAAAGACACGCATTCATATGCCACCAACATTCGACGCAAATTAAGTACAGACTTGAAATTGTTAGCAGCAATCAAAAACATTCGAGTCCGAAAATACTGAAAATTTCAGTAAAATAAGGCCCAAACCTGGTTTTTGGCAGAAGGGCCAATATTGGCTCGAAAATTGCACTTATTGCTGAATTACACACGCTCACTAAAAAAATGCGATTTTTGAAAAATTGGTAACTTCTGACTGAACTTAGGTTACAACTTGATATTTTTACCATCTAAGGAAGACATTTGGATTTAACAGTTTTGAAATTTTCAGTTAAATCGCACTGAAGCCGGACTTTTACCGGACAAGTCAACGCTAGCCCAAAAACGAATGTTTTTAATTATTACGCCCCGTCGTTTAAAAAATCAGAACTCTCAACACAAGTAAAGTGGCATCTTGAAATATTCCACAACGATTGAAGACATCTGGGTCTCAAAGTCTAGAAAATTTGCAGCAAATCGCATAAAAACTTCATTTTTGCCTGCCACGACAACCAATGTCTGAACATCACGATTAGAAACCCTCCTTTAAAAAATTACAACTTTCATTTGAAATCAAGCAGAAACTTGCAAGTTTCTTCATCTTTAGAAGACATTCGCATCTGAAACGTCTGATAATTATTTCGGTGTATCGGTAATATCCAAGCGAATCGCATAATCGCCTCGTTCAATGAACAAGTGTTTAGTAGCTCTGATTGGTGGAACGTTTGCCGCCCGCGCCCTTTGCTCCCTGCGTAGTCCTGGAAACCATCCAGCTTTGAAACTGGGAGGGGCGCACATTTAGTCAGTGCACTTGACGCCAATGCTTTGTTCGGGTTGTTTTCGTGATCTTCAGACTTCACTGACTATGCACGTTTTTCGGCCACGATACGTATTTTGACTTAAAAACACAGAAAAATTTGCGATTTTTTTCGTTCGGTCTTCCAGTCTATAAATGTCAGTCAAATCGCACGTAATCCTAAATTTTGCCAGGCTAACAATAAATGTTTTAACACAATTTTTCGGGTTTTCTTACAAAAATATAATTGGTAATCGCGTTTAAGTAGCAACACGAAACTTTTCTCATTTCTAGAAGAACGCCGCCAACTTTCGACTCAATTCAAGTAGACGCTTGAAGTTTTTATCAATCAAAAACATCCGAGTCCGAAAATCCTGAAAATTTCAATCAAATAACGCTCAAACCTGATTTTTAGCAGCCAGGAAAAACTGCTGTTATTTTTCAATTACACGCGCTTACTAAAAAAATTAGATTTTTCAAAATTTGATAACTTCCAACTGAACTTAGATAACAACTTGATTTTTTTTGTCCATCTAATCTATGCCAATCTTTAGAAATACAGTGCAAAGACCCGGATACATTTGCTGGAGTGATCTTCAAGGTGAGCACTCATAGTGTGGGAGGAGTTACTCAATATTACTGCCCTAGAGGACACTCAATGCAAGGCAACGCTAGCAGGATTTGCTTGAAAAAAGGAGTGTGGAGCGGACAGGCCCCGACCTGTTTGCGTAAGTGACTCCAACTTTGATTCATCATTTTCTGAGCGTTAATTTTGTTTTCTATGATTCAATAGTTTCTTCACGTTCACTGATTTTGGCACTATAAAAGCTGATCGCTTATTAATAAAAATCTCCCATAACAAGAATTTACTTCTGCTTTAGCCATCGACTGTAACCATCCGGGAGCCATCGAAAACGGTCGCGTTATCGTAATGAACGGAACCACATACAACAGTGCCATCGAGTACCATTGCGTCCCATCCTACGAGCGAATCGGCCCATACCTGAGAAAATGCCTGGATAATGGCCAGTGGTCAGGCGAGCAGCCCAGATGTGAAAGTATGGATTGAAAATATATTGTTTGTTAACTATCAACTAATTTACATGATTGTTTCCAGTGGCCATTGAGGAGCCTCAGGAGGATTCGAACTTGGGCACCAGCATAGGAATTGGAGCGGGAGTGGTTGTGTTCTTGCTGGTGCTTTTGGGCATTATCTACTGGAAATTGTAAGCCATCCACTGAGGAATTTGATTGGTTAATAAAAACATTATTTTTTTCCAGACGGAAGCCGGTGGCAGTGAAGAACAAAGAAAACGTGGAAGGTGCAGAAAGGAAGGAAGAACGTAACGCCGCTGTGATGAGCTACGCGACTCTGAGCGATCGGAACGGTTTAGGAGGCCAGACGAACATCTACGACAATATCCATGAGAATATGTATGATGCCCCATATGAGGAGGGCCGGAGAGATAGTGGGACTTATGAACCGGAGCCAGTGGGACGCGCCAATGGAAATACGGTCACTATAAATGGGGTCTCAGTGAGATAAATCCTTAAAAACTATGTGATAGGGTTCAACTTGTGTGTACAGTCAATTCTGTGATGGACATTGTGTAACTAAGTTCGGGTGAAGTAGTCAATGAACTATTTATTGAATATTTTCCTTTCCCAGTCCTATTTACTTCAATCCAGTTACCTATATGTGTAAATGCTGTGCTCTAGATGGGCTGCAGGAATTAACGAAATATTTCTGTACAGTTTCCTTGGCTGCAACCAAATATCCGTACCGTTTTAGGGAATATTTCAAATATAGTCTATTAATAGTATGAGTAGTTTAACATTTTCACTGCCTATGGACAATATTTTGCACAAGCAAGCAAGCAATAGTAAATTCAGCCAAAGATGACTTTTTTCATCAATTACTCAGAATATCTGAGAAAATAAAGCGATGGTTTTACGGTGAGATTAAGAACCGGTAGTACGAGCAAACGAATTTAGTTCTTGTAAAACGTTACTCTCCCACTAACGATCCTTGTGTAACGTTGAAGTTATTAAGTTGAGTTTCTTCCTTCTATTATCAACTCAGTTCGTTTTTTGCTTTGTACTTGCCTCTTTAAATTAAGAAAAAACTTGTTCTGAGGTAGTTGAGATACAAGGCTTGTCTTAAAATCAAAAAGTGTAAACTGATGTAAATTTGGAAGAAACGTATGTATATAAAAATGTTTATCAATGAAATGATTGTCTTTTTATCCGCATTAGTCTATTCGATACATTTGAAGATATGCGAATGTTGAAAACTCGAACTATTTTTTTTTAATTCATGAATCTCTAAAACGCAATCCTATTGGTTGTGACGTCTCTGGTCATATAAATGGCGGATTGTTTACGTTCTGTGCATAGTGTTTAGTTGTGTGGTTGCGCTTCATTAATTATTTTGTGGATTTAAATAATTTATAGTTTGTGTTAAACTAAAAAATGGCTTCCGAATGATTCCTTAAAGCGTCAACAAACAATTTACCATGTATACATATTTTTATGGTTACCGAATTTTTAAAAACTACGAACTCATTAACTCAGCCGAGTTTAAGGGTGTCAAAGCAGCAGCGTAAGTAAAAATTCGTAAATTCATTATTAGTTACTCTCTCCTTAATACACTAATCTGTGTGTATGGGTTTAAATTAGGTAAATAATATATGGAATTTCACTTATTCAACTTAACCTAACCTGTATACATGGCTGCTTTAAAACTAAAATGATCTCTTAAGTTTGTATTTTGGGCATCACAAGAACAATATTGTGATATCGGATATGCCAGAACCATGAGTACTAGTATTCTGTCTGCCTCATCATTCGCTTTTTGTTCGTACTTTCATTAAAATGATCCTCGCAACAAAAAAACATTGATTTGGATTTAGGAACATCACGTCTACCTGCTTCGAACCATAAAACGTTACGGGCATAATCATGGGGAACGGTTAGCCAGAGTTTGTTTGGAGCACTTATTGAGGTATTCTTGCATCCTGGCACAAAACACCACTTATTTTGTGATCCATACATGTCACTATTTTCCATTATGCAAGATAATAATAATAATCAATGAAATAATGATAATCACAATAACTTAAATAATAAAACAAAGCTGCGAAAACAACAAATAAAGACGAGACACTTTGTTGATATGACCTACTACGTCACAATCGGGTGACAACCGACGATACGGTTCGGCGTTTTTGGCGGAAAACATCTGAATTGAAATTAAATTCGCTTTAACATTATTATAGAGACTTTTTTCCAAAACAAATTATATTAGTGTAATGTTTGCCATAACTCCTTTCTATGTATCAACATAAAAAAAAAGTGAAAGCAACCTATTGTATGAGGATGACGTTTGTAAGAACAGTTAAATTATTTTTTTCTAAGAATGATCATTTTATAAAAATGTGTATTAGTTTCAAAAATATTTGCAGTTTGAACTTTTTGCTTCTGAATCAGAAACCTCAAAAAATCGTGTGCGCAAAAAAAAACATTAAAACAATAACATGAAACGCTATAAATTAGCGAAGCATGAAAATCGTTACCCCTTTAATTAAGACGTTTGCAAAGAAATTTTAATTTAATGTTTTGAAAACTGATCATGTTACAATAATAATTTGTCTTCTTTACTGCTACTGAAGTGAAAATTCATTCAATTCAATTCAAAAAAAGCAACATTTGTCAAAGTATTTTAGTCATTAAAAATAACATTTCAACACCAGATGGCATGATATTTACTTATATTATGTTAATTTCTACTTCATTTATACCTACTATATAATCAGGATATAAAAATTAAATCAATACGAATTAAATCAGCCCGGTCAATCAATACGAATTTTTCTACTTTTCATGCAAAGTCATGCTTTCTGCACACCGAAAACCCGTTAAATAATTACTTGCGAGAGTTTTAACAAAATGCAAATTCAAGTCGCATTTTTTATCTACTGAAAGATACAATGAGAATCACCTGTTGGAT